GAGATTGTTGAATAGGTTGGTACCTATAATATCTTCACGAAGTCTTTACAAGACATGATTATAATACCAGAAATGGTCATTTTTGAGACTAAACTCAGATAGGAAGGACAAATTCCTGAATGGTTCATAAAACATGTGCTGGACTGATGCCCAATCCAGGTGAGACCAGATTCAATTCTCCAAGGTCTCCTTCAACCCGCCCAGAGAGGGGCCTGTGTTTCTACATACTGGAACAAGCCAGGCCAAGCAACCTATGACAATACCAGGACAAGGAGGTACTACTGATGTGATAAGCAGCTGCAAATGAACAAGATGCCAAAGCTGAATTAATGGGAAATGCAGAATTCTTTGTCATAAAAGAGCTGCTTTGCAGCACATGTAGGTTTTCTGAGAGGGGCATTTTTATACTCATCACGCTCATTTTTTCTTGTTTGGGGGGTTGAAAGTCTAAGCCTATTCTCTTAACTATCATGGTATCTGCCAGCACAAAAGTCAACAAACTCACAGGAGACCCAAAGTGCTCTTGGTTTGATTGTTCCTAATAAACTTCGGTGCTTGCAGACCACATACTGTCAGAAAATTATTTGTAAGGCTTCTTTAAAAGGGTGACAGGGTTCAGAAATAAACTGCATGCGGTAAGAAGAGCCTCCCGTGGGTTATCCCCGTGAAATGAGTTGCAAGGCTTTGGGGAGTGGTGGTGGTTTCCGGCCATTAGCATTACTAATCAAGGCTGGCTTTGCATTGATGGGAATGGACACAAATCAAGAAGATCCAAGGGATGTTCATTCCCACAGCCCTGCCAGAATTCTTCAAGGTCAAACTGAAACCCAAGTTTACTTCAATTATCTTTGATTGGGATGTTTTGTTATTTTTATATCTCCTTGAGATAAGAGACAGTGAAGCAGACATGCTAGGTCTACAGGTCACTACATCACTAAAGCAATTACTGTCAACTCTCAATTAACCTCCTTCCTGCAGGAAGCATTAGTGTAGACGTGACAAGTCCTAGATAACCTACCCAAGGCTTCTTGAAGCTGAGGGGAGAGAGAGGAGAGGAGAGCAGAGGAGAGGAAGAAAGAGGAGAGGGAGAAGGGGAAAGGAAGAGAATGAGACAAGGGAGAGGAGGGTAACGGAGAAAGGAGGGGAAGGGGAAGGGGAGGAGGGGGAGAAGAGAGAGAGAACACCAAGAAAAGCTCAGGCCCATGAAGTTTCTAAGGAAAAACTAGAGCAGGGAGGTAAACTGGACAGCCCTCTTTTTATGTCCCTTGTCTTTTCGCCTACACAAATAATATTGTTTTCTTAGTAACAGAGTGACAAATAAAACGCAGGGGCTCGGAAGAAGCCAAGCAGGAAGCAGCAGGAAGCTCGGAGATGCTGGCAGCTGGGGTGACTTGGGGAGACCTCAGTGGGTCTCAAAGCCCAGCTTTGGCACCTTCCCCTCAGGCCAGTGCTCCCTGGTACATAGAGGGAGCTTGACGTGTTGCTGTAGAGGATTTTTTAACTGCACTAACCAACATGGTAAAAGGTGTTCCTTCACTTCAAATGTTGCCATGAACCATTTGCATGCATGGTAAGGATTTATGTGCACTCAGGCTGCAGGTCTCAAATCTGTGTGTTCAGGGCGTGCTGAGCACTAACCCTATTCCCACTCTGCAGTGTTAAGCTCTGCAGGCTGGGCCTCTCCCTCCAGGCCAGGAAAAAAAAATGGTAGGTAAGTGACTTCAAAGGAGAAAGAATATGAAAATGGAAATAATGATTCTAAAGTATCAGTGGCCAAGAAAAAAAATGAATTCAAAAAATTGAACAAGGTTGAGATATTGCTCACAGTAAAGCACTTTTCTAGGAAAGCCTGAGGCCAGGTTCAATTCCTAGTGATGCCAAAAAAAAAAATAGTCTATGAAGTTGTCCATTTCTGATTCATCATTGAATCCTCAAGTTCTTCTGTGGATATATAGAATACTGATCACTTCCCACTCACCAGGGAATGCAGGAAGCCGGGGAGGCATGCTCAGCTGACATCCGGCTTGCTGACAGGGAACTGCCAACTAGCCAAGGCGCGTGTGCACGCACGCGCACACACACACACACACACACACACACACACACACACACACACACACACACACGAGTGGTGAGGATGACAAGTATCTTTAACTCCTCCCCCTCTTCCAAACAGAGGAAACAACAACAACAAAAATAGTGGAATAGGGAGAAAAATGATCAGATGTGGTGATGAAAACAAACAAGAAGCCAAAGGCCATAGCTCTATTTACAAGTCATAAAGCATGCACACACCAAATTCTAGAAGGACATGGAGAATCGACACATTCCTCCCATCTCCAGCACACCCTGTGAGGGGAGGAGCAAGGCTGAGAGGGCAGAATTTCGCTATAAAGACAGCCTGAAACCACAGGACAGGAGAAGGGGAGACAAGAGGAAGCTTGTCAGCCGTGTGATTTTACTTAGTTCTTTTTCAGATGGCAGCAGGGGGGGGGGGTCTCACTATGCTGCCCCGGCTGACTTCAGATACCTGGGCTCAAAGGCTGCCCCTGTTTCAATCTCCTGAGCAGCCGAAGCCAGAAGAGTCTACCACAGCACTTCGCTTGCTTGTTTTCTTGCTGTTGTTTTCTACATAATCTATTATATTTTTACTACCTTTTAGTTATAAAGGTTTCATTTTGACATGCCCAAATATGCACGCCCTGTGGCTTAGTTAGACTCACTCCACCCCATCCACCTTCATTCCCTACACACACACACACACACACACACACACACACACACACACACACACACACACACACACACACACACATCTTCCCAAACCCTTTAAAACAAGCTCCACTGTTACATTTTCGTATATGCACATAGATTCTTTTTTTCATATTCACCCTCCTTCATCTTCTCCACTTCCCACCCCACTTCCTACTAGTACTTCCTCCTCCCCCCCGGAGTGAGTCCCGCATTCCCATCATTCATTTTTTAAGTGTACACCAATGGCTCTCACTCACTTCAACCACCCTACCCCGCATTACCCAATAGCTTTCAGTGAGTTTCATTTTGCTATATTTATTCACAAACACAATAAATTTTAGTGTTCTTGGAAGTAGTGTCATATGACTACTACAATCTTCCTAGCCAGCAAAGGCTTCCAGAAGCCATACACTTCAATAGAAACTCAAGAGGATGATGGGTTAAAATGAAGAAGAAAATACACATGCATTCACACAGAGGGACTTGGATCTCCAGATTGAATTCTTTTGTGCAGAAAGTATGTATCTTTACATTTTCTCTTAGATGACGACTCCAATAAAAACTATTTGAGTTTTATAAGGCCAGGCCAAAGAAGGAAATGTTTTGTAAGAACAGGTAAAGCATTGCAGCAGCAGACTGGCTCGATGGCTTCAACAGCACCCACAGTATGAGTGCAAGGATGAAGGAATGAGGCTTGTGACGGGGTTATGATGCTCCGGGTTCCCTAAGAAAATACAACTCAGCACGAGGGTGGGGGGGTGAGGAGGGGCGGTGAGGGGAGCAAATCAATGCCAAACATATGGAGATCTCTGCCAGCTAAAGACCTGGTAGATAGGAAGAGCCAAAGGAAGGATTTAAGTGACAACTTTCTGACTTTTCTCACAATGAACCTTGGATTTGGTACATTTGCTACCCACGTCACTGTTATTCCCAGAAATCTGTTATTCCCAGAAATCAGCCTGCACGCGAAAGACCTGAAATTGAATTAAGTAACACACTCTTGTCCTCACAATTTGAGATCTACAAGAATTCTTTCATTTTTTAGCTACCACAGGTTAAAATCCTCTCATGGGCCCTTTAGAAAAACATGCTTATGTGTAAGACAATGGAGAATTAACAGATGTGCAAAGGAAATTGAGCCATGGAGGAAATCTAATGTAAAATGAAGAATATTAATGATTCCAGAGGAGACCCAAATATGAAGCAGCATATACTTCAGTGATATTATCTAATGTAATATTTGAGGGAGTGAAGAGGTATGAACCCCTACTGACTTCCTCTCTCAAGTTCAAAAAATATTAAAATAGTGAGCCCAAGGGCCATACATTTCAAGTTGGGGTTGCTGCAGAAACTAACAAGTGAAACCATTAGCCCTGTGAAATCTATACTCAGAACGCTTAAACCCTAAGAAGCATCAGAATATGGTAGTCTTTAAGGAAGTACCTAAGGTTATGAGGATATCGGGACACTCTGATCTCCTAAAAACAGGAAATGCAAGCCCACACCTATTAATACTAGCTACTTGGGAGACAGAGATTGAGAAGACAGCAGTTTGAGGCCAATGTGCACAGAGTTAACAAGAACCTCCCTCAACTAAACAAGTTTAAGTGTGGTGGCAGACACCTGTAATTCTAGCTGTGTGGGAGGTTTCATTAGGAAGACCTCAGTCTATAATCAGCCCAGGGGAAAAAATGTAAGATCTTTTCTGAAAAAATAACTAAGGCAAATTAAGGCTGGGTGTGGTTTAAGTGGTAGAGCCCCTGCCTCCAAGGGAAAAATCCTGAGTTCAAACTCTAGTACAACCAGAGAGGGGTATGGGGAAAAGAGGGGAGGTGGGGAGAGGAAGAGAGGGAGAGAGAATGAAGACATGACTAGCACAGAGAAAAGAGAAGGCAAGAAGAAAGCAGCCATCTAGAAGTCAGAGAACATCCTCAGAAGAAACTAACCTGCCAATACCTTGATCTCAGACTTCCAGGCTCCAGCATGGTGAGAAAATAAATTCTTGTGGATTAAGCCACCCAGTCTGCAGCAAACAAATACGGAAACCTCAGAACTAGGAGGTGGATCAGTAACAGAGGATATGCTTAGCATGTGTGAGGTTCTGGGTTTCCTTCTCAGCTCTACCAAAAGAAAGAAAGCAATCTCTGCTGAGCCACACCCCCATTTTCTTTTTCTTATAACCCTGTAATGAGACATGAGGTTCTAAAGCTTCCTCTGTGGGTAAATGCATTCAATTTCATACTCACAACCCCGACAGGAAAGGCCAGCACAGCTAACATCCAGTCTCGGAGGGAGATGAGCTTCTTGAGCTGCCGCTCCTGCTCTTGGTTCCCGCTTCCTCTGGTCAGAAGGCTGGAAAGATCAGTCAGCACGCAGATGCCAAAGAAGACAGCCTGGATGACCTACAGAGAGATGGCCACCCAAACTGGTCAATACAGGACTAGAGAACAGAGAACAAGCTGCAGGTCTGAAAGAGGACACACAGTAAGAAAATACCAGAATCCTCTTAAAAGGGTTCTACAAGTAGCAAATAATAAGACACTTTCAATTGCTGTTTTAGGTTTGAAAACATCTTAAAAACACTACTTCCTTGTTTGTGACCGTTTAGGTAAATGCCCCAAAGTGGGATTGCTGGGTCATAAGGGAGCTCTATGTGGAGTCTTCTGAGGAACCTCCATACTGCTTTCCAAAGTGGTTGAACAACTTTATACTCCCCCCAGCAATGCAGTAGGGTTCCCTTTTGGCCACATCCCCTCCAGCATCTGTTGTTACTAGAGTTCTGGATTATAGCCATTCTAACTGGGGTGAAATGGAATTCCAATGTTGTCTTGATTTGCATTTCTTTTATGACTAGAGAAGTTGAGCATTTCTTCATGTGTCTATTGGCCATTCTTATTACATCTTCAGAGAAGTCTCTCTTTAAGTCTTTAGCCCACTTATTAATTGGGCAGTTGTTTCTTTGAGGATTTTTTATTGGAGCACTAACCTAAACGATCACAAACAAGGCTATACTAAAGCTACCAGAATAACTATGTTTATCACAGCATTGTTTACCATAGCTAAGATATGGAACCAACCCAGATGGCCCTCAGTAGCTGAATGGATCAAGAAAATGTGGTTTATACATATACAATGGAATTGCATGCCTCCATCAGAAAGAATGACATTGCCCCATTTGTTAGGAAATGGAAAGACTTGGAAAAAATTATATTAAGTGAAGTAAGCCAGGCCCAAAGAAACATAGGTCCCATGGTTTCTCTTATTTGCAATGACTAGTATACGTCTAGGACAAGCAGAGAAGGTCAAAGGCTAGTACATATGACCACATGAGATAATGTTAAGCAAAATGTACCCCAAGAAAGGGACACAAGAGGTTTTTATCTTTCTTGCTATTGTTTTTAATGTACTTATAATGCACTATGTGATTCTTTTGTTTCTTTTGTATGTTCTTTCCCGATGGTATAATCCCTGGATTTGATGCCAGTGTTCTGCATCTTGTATATACATTTTTATAATTTGGGGAGGGGAAGGGATATAGTGGAATGCTTACATGGGGATGCAGGCTGACCCACTGTGACAACAAGATGTTCAGGACACTATGTTGAAAACGAAGTTTACAATGTCGGGGGTTGGTTGGAATTGGGGAGGTGGGAAGTGAAGTGATGGCAGGGGGAAAACAAAGGAGGAGGTAACAATGCTCTATAGGAAATGTATTCATTATCCTACTCATGTAACTGTAACCCCTCTGTACAATATTTTTACAATAAAAATATATAATTAAAAAAACACTACTTCCATTTTTGTTCATTTTGGGACAAGTGCAAAATATGCACAGAAACATGCACCCCTATGCATGAGAACATACACACACTCACACCTAAACCTGACCAATAGAAAGAATATCAGTTATCAAATGAACGTGTGCATTATTTTAGTTGGTTTTTAATTTTTTATCATTATCTGTAACAGTTGCCATTCAACAAAGCAGTTTATGAAGAAAATATATCTTGATCAATGTCACTCCTTTCAACAATCATCATCTCTCAACCCTGCCCTTTCCCTTGATTGTATTAGTTTTGTAGACTATGCATTGGGCTCTATGACTGCATTCTCCACCATTTCCTCTCTTTACTCACCTACCCTCTACCCTTGACTCCACCTCTCCTTCCAAGCATCACATGTGTAATGTGGCTGTATTGACCAGCAAGATTTAGCAAATAATCTTAAGAAGTAAGAACATATGAATGAGTATAGTCTGAGTAAGAAAAGAGAGAACTCTGTCCAAATACGAAGAAATGTTTCTTGGACTTTACTCTCTTTGATTTAGACATCTTTCCACCAAAGGAAGTGTTAGGAAGCTTGTTAGGAAGTTGATCCTTGACTCATAAAGATGTCAATTAAACACAATAGTCTGAAGTGATAGGGAGCAACTTTCATTTGCCAAACTTGAATAAAATGATCTCCACAGGTTTTCAGTACTTAATGATATAATATAAACACAGCATACCAGACCATTTAATCAAAGAAGCTATCAGTTTTTACATTGCCAAATCAATTACAAATTGAATGGCTTACATCTGCCATATTTTTCTTGGACCATCTGAGGGAAGAATTCTGGATCACTAAGCACCAATGATTTGTAAACATCTTAAAGTGGGGGTGAAGGTGTTGATGACCCAGAACTCTGAGTAGAAACACCAAACTGTGCATTAGTGAGGAAGAGGTCAATCCAAATGATGGGCAGAACAGAAAATCTGTTCCCTATGGTCAAAATTTTACTCACCAGGCATAGAATCAGGGAAAATTTTCAGATTTCTATTAGAAATAATTTACTGATGACTTATTTGTAAAAGAGAAATACAGGGGCTGGGAAGGTGGCTCAGTGGTAGAGCACTTGCCTTGCATGCTCGAGGCCCTGGGGTCAATTCCTCAGCACCACATAAGAAAAAAGCCGGAAGTGGCGCTGTGGCTCAAGTGGTAGAATGCTAGCCTTGAGCTGAAGAGCTGAAGGACAGCACCCAGGCCCAGAGTTCAGGCCCCACGACCGGACCAAAAAAAAAAAAAAAGAGAGAGAAATACAATTCTACTTATTACCTCTTTAGAAAAACGTAAGTTCTTTTATTAATTTTTAGTAAGTATTTTTATTGTGAAAATACTGTACAGAGGGGTTACAATTACATGAGCAAGATAATAAGTACATTTCTTATCAAGCTTTGTTGCCTCCTTTGTTTTTCCCCTACCATCCCTGCCCTTCCATCTCCACGACTACACGCCCCCCCCCCCCCCGCCAAAGTTGTAAAGTTCATTTTTCGACATAGCATCTATTTAAACAATTTGTTTTTTTTCCTTCCCCTCCCCAAATTATACCAACATCAAATACTGTGAAAACAGGGGTTATACTGTGGGGGAGGGACATACAATGCAACAAATCAATCACCTTATAAATATGTTAGAAACAATAGCAAGCAAGGAAAAACCACTTGTGTCTTTATCTTAGGGTTCATTTCGCCTAACCCCAGATAGGCCAGACCAGAACAGGACATCCCACTGTCACATTATAATCCGCCCAGGATCAATTCAGAACAAGGAAAACATGAGTTCTTTAAAAAGATAAATCTGTGGCCAGCTATGTGGATGGCTTACTCAGGCACAGGATTAAAGAGTCCTTGATTTGAGTACCTGATTCCAAGGATGGCAAGGTGGTGCATGCCTATAATCCCAACTCCCCTGAAGATGGAGACAGAAGGATTGAAAGTTTGAGGCCAACCTAGGTAAAGTTAGTGAGATGCTATCTCCAAAACAAATTACAAATAAAAAGGCTGGGCATGTAGCTAAAATAGTAAAGCACTTGCTTAGCATGCATGAGGCCCTTCTAGGTTTAATCTTCAGTACCATAAAAAAAATTACCTGCTTCCAACCCTGACCTCAGCAATAGAACATCCATTATTGTCAAGTAGAAGTGTGGACACCGGTGGGTAGCCTTGGGTAAAAATATAAACCCCACCGCTTTTATAATTGGATTTGAGAGAGCAGTTAGCAAATTTCATTAGAGACATTCTACCTAGAGTTGTCTATTGCTTGTATGTGTCATGCCATCCACTGCAACTTGAAACTCACTAAGCTGAGTGTTAAAATGTGAAGGTTGCATGGAGAGGTGCAAGTGGTCTGACATAGGATTACCTTGAAGTATGATTCAGCTCCAGTCATTCTGCAGAGCTGGCATTTCCAAACGGTCGACTCAGCGTGACACATACATACCATCTGGCTTTGAGATCTTAGCAGGCTGGCTGCTCTTATTATTTTACACCCCATGTAGAAATAAAGTGGTCAAATGTATCATATCTCTCCAAGAAATATAAATAACAGTTTATCAGAATGAAAGAACAATTCCCGTCCAGGCTATTCTGGAGTATCTTAATGCTTGTTCCTCTAGAACATTCTCTTCAATTCTTTCACAGGTTTCTTCCACCTCCTCAACTCTTCTAGTCCAGAAACCTTAGTAATTTACTGAGTCATTTTAGATTTAGAAATCCCTTTCCTAAGTACAAAAATATAGCTAAATTCCATTCATAGTTTTTATCCTTTTTATACACATAGTTGGTTTTGACATTAAAATGTAATAGTATTTCCCTTCTCTGGAAATGATTAAACAATTACACTCTGAACTACAGGGGAACATTCATTTGACTCGACTATTTATTCCCAAATATACACAGTATAGTTTAACCAGAATGTTTTATTTCATTATAATATGTCATCTTCACTACCATCAGTTAAAATTTCATTTCATAGGAAGCTACAGTATATAGGTATATATACGTATATATGTGTATATGTATATATACGTATGTATATATATGTATGTATATATACATATATATATACCTATATACTGTAACTATATATATGTATATTCATTACGTAATCTGCTGCTGACTTTTTGTATGTCTCCCTCACTTAGGGAAGACCCAAAAATTCATCAAAAGAGGAAAAACAACACATGATTTAAGAAATGAAATCACTGTATGATTTTTAAAGTTCAGAGTATAGCTATCTCTACTGTAAGATTTCTGGGGCCTGGAATATATGATGTCTATGAACACATTTTTTTTCACTCAAATATCATTTCCTCCTAAATACCATGAGGACTTTTAAAAATCTTTCTCTCTGTTTTTGGCAATAGTTGCTTTTCTTTTGGTTGATAGTAAAAGCTCCATGTAAAATTTTTTTTTACTATAAAGTGGTGTATGGAGAGTTGAAGTTAACTAAGTTAGGTATTGAGTACATTTCCTTTTGGACAGTATCATCCCCTCCTTCATTTTTTCCCCAGTATTTTCCCTTGTGACATGCTTCCCTCCCAAGCTGTATAGTTCACTTCCAACATAGTATCTAGTGAGTATCA